AGATTAAAATTGAATTTTTAGTAGACCGTGATAAAAATTTTTGAAATGTGAAATTGAAAAGATGTGGAATCCATGGAATATATGGTTAATATTGATTGTTTGACTTTAACTTAGACTTATATTAAAATTTGATTTTAATCCGAAACAAACAGGGCCTATATGTTTACACAATTACAGTCAAGAAAGATATCAATTTTCTTTTAGCGTTTCCTAAAAATAAGCAGATAGTCTCGAAAAAACTCACGAGCCAGAAAATCAACTTATAAACGTAAAGTTCGATTCAAAAAATAAAAATAAATTCAGCTCAAATTATTCAATTTAAACGTGTTCTAAGCAGGGGCGGATCCAGCACCTGGCGAGCCCCCGCGGCCGCCCGTGCTGGATCCGCAGGGAGCTTCAGTAAAACCACCGTCCGCCGGGTAGAAGTGCAGAAGACGCCGGGAAGAAGAGAAGGATTGGGCGGGAAGAAGTGAAGGATTGGGCGGTTAGGCTTGAATTTTTTTCCATTGTTTGGGCCTTTTTTTAAAAAAATAAGGCCCAATGAATTGGCCCAACCCATGGTATCCATGGATATATCATATATGGGTATCCATTATCCACAAGACAAAACCAATTGCATATATTGAAACCGGCAGAGGAAGAGAGGAGACGACTGAAGCTGCGGTATGTGATACAATTTTGTATAGCCCTTTCAGGTAATCGAACTCTCTCGTTCTCTACCTTCTTTTAGTGGAAAAGTAGGTGGTCTAGTTCTTGTTTCTGATTTTTTTTTCAAGTTTTGTGAAAATGCAGACGAAGCTTTGCTTCAATTCATTTTTTTTCCGGCTCTGTTGATGAAAAATCTTGATTCTGAATGTTTTTTGGAAGAAAGATGAGTTCTTGGTGAACAAGAATTAACAATTTTGAGTGTTTTTTTTTCGCAACTCACAAGTGATCTATTCAAGCTAATTGGAATTGTAATTGGATTTAGGGATTATGGTTTGAAATTGGATTTAGGGTTTAGGGTTTGGAATTGAATTTGGAATTGAAATTGGAATTGGATTTAGGGTTATGGTTTGGAATTGGATTTAGGGTTTAAGGTTTGGAATTGAATTTGGAATTGGGGGAATTGGAAATTTGGATTTTGAATTGGATTTATGAATGTTGTATTGCGTATTTCTTTAGTATTTTGGATTGTATTGAATTACGTTTTCATATATATATAATTTTTACGTTTTAGTGCGTTTACATATATTTTAAGTAATTTTTAATATTATTTAATTAAATATTAATAAACAATCTCGGTCTTACGATCGCTCACTTCGACGTTGACTGGTCAATGTCCGCCCGGGCTGAGTTTCAAGGCTAGGTTCGCCACTGGTTCTAAGCACTCAAAAGTAGAAATTTATTACCATCAATAAAAATTGAGGCCAGATATCTCATTGTGACATAAAAACTCAAGTCATTAATTAACTAAGTCACTATTTAATTATACATATTTTTTGTTTGTTTTTTCTTTCTAGGGACCCCTACTTCAATGTACACATGACCATTCAACAACATAAACAATAGATAAAATCATTGAGACATTTAATCGTTCCCATCTACCTGTGGTCATGATGCACATTAATTAGGATTTAGTCACATGACCCTCCCCAAATTCTTGAGGAGAAATTATTCTGAAATTAGGTGGAGGAATGACTAGGAAAAGTTTATTCATAACATGGATAAATATTTTCTAACGACTCACCGTGAGTTTCGGCGTCGAATTGATCTTTATAGGTAAGGTTAGATGAGATCTTATGTGTATTGTGTTCATTCAATTACTTCATCCAAGAGTGATGCCCTTTCTGATCTCATCCGTATTCTGATCGAAAAAAGAAATGCACAGAGACTACTCCCTAAAAAATGTCTGACCCACATATAAGTTCCTTTGTCGTTGGGGTGTACGATTCACCAAGTTTAAGTTATTAGACGGGGTAGACACATTTATAAAATTTAAATTTAATGCCTGAGCTATTAGAAGATGGGGAGAGTGCGTATGTGTTACATGTTTAATCATTTAAAATTAGTCTACAAAACACACACGGGCGTATATTACTCAAGTGGTGTTACCTGAAGTTAAAAGAATTTGAGTTATTAGGGGACAGTTCAAATGGGTGAGAAATCGTAGAAGTGAGAAATCATCTATAGTTTTGTTGTTTTACCTCTAGGAGAAGAGTTGATGCTGGAGTGAGTCCGTCATATGCGCTTATTTCGATGATTTGAAAATGTGGGAAGAAGAACAAAACTAAAATAGTTACACAAAAATTTACATGAGGGGTCAAATGGATCTCAATTTAATTTGTATGTGTGCAATGGAGATATTATTATATTGCACGTTGGTTTAATCCATATTACAGAGGAAATGTTGTCGAAATTCCGATAAATTATATGCGACATCTTTTGTGGCAATTCGAAAGTTCCCACTTATTGGAACGGTTTATATTTTTGAGTCAATCGTTTATTTGGGATCAATGCATATTTTCGAGACAGTAAATCCCTGCTTATTGGAGCCACTCATATTTTTAAGGCAATCTATAGGACCTCACCTGCTTGACAACTTATATTTCGAAATCCGATCCACATATGAATATATGACTCTGATTACATGGCATGATCGTGTCGGAGGGATCCCACATTAATTGATTCGACTTTGGTTATCTAATTGGATTGTGCTTATTTAATCAAGTAACTGCATCTTGGGTTTGAACTGGACCCATTAACCCCACTGGACCCATTTACATTCTTCTGTATATATACGAGTTCACTCACAACCAAGGTAGGTAACTCTAACCCTAGCTAAATCCCTTCTCCCTCTCTTGCACTCATTTTATTTCTCGTCCGACCGTTGATTTGACCATCGGAGTGCAAAAGGTTGTCAGACATTTTTCTCAATCGAAGGCCTTTGCACCCTAACGGGATGCTTCAGTGTGTAGGAGATGCTTATGTGGAGGGGGTACGATCGGAATTCTATTAGCATATCTTTTGAGGTCAACAAGGTATATAGATTATTTGACATCTATGTAAATTTTTCTGCAACAATGGAAATTATATCAAGTTTTGGGCTTTCATCTTTGAAGATCAACCTCATGTCTTTATTTATTAATTTAAATTCAGATTAAAGTGATGCAATATTTTATTTTTAATATTCTTTGCTAGATGGTGGCTCATTTATAAACATCAAACTTGTAACCTTGAATTTCTGGTTCGAATTTTTTGGACCTTGGTATCGTATCGAGTCATTAGGTTCTCTCTTAAAACATCAAATAAGAGGTATAACTCAAATCTTTACATGTTTATTATTTTTATTATATTAAGGCATTCTTGAAATGCCTAAAACTTAGTGTTTATCGATTTTAATCACTCTCTTCATGGAAAACTTTTATTAAACCAAATATTTGATCAATTTTTATCAAGATTTCACACTACTTCGATGGATAAAAGTTGAGAGTTATGATTGACTCTGGAGTGCATACTCACAAGGTGCGAAACTGGGGAGGTATTTTGTCACCCTTGTCCATTCCAAACAATATTTTCTCCTTTCAACAATACCAATAAATTAATTTATACCGAGTTTCTATGCGTTTTTTTATTTTTTATTTTAGAGTTAGTCCACGTTAACATTATTCTCGAGTCCATGTTTGCAATTAAAAGCACTAAGATATATAAGGACTGGAATTCAAATTTTTACTTGTTCGAATTCTCAATTCAGTCAAATGATTGAACATCAGTCTTATGTCGAAAAATCATTAAAATTTAGGCTCGACTCGAACTTTTAGCACAGGTCTTATCGAGCCGAGTCGGCTCACGATTTATATTTCACAATTCATTGAAAAATAGTCAATTCAACGCGATTTAAATAGATAATACAAACAATTACAACTTACATGCTTGATGCTTCTCAATTTTCAATTCAGGGGAAGGTTTCTCCACAAAGTAGAACTATGCTTACCAATGCCCATGTGCATTGCAATGGTTCCCGATAAGGTAAATAAATATTATAGATATCCCTGATTTTTGAAAACTTATATAAACCTCCCCTAAAATTTAATTTTCACATATTTTTCATTTTCATAATATTTTCCATTTTACCCTTCAACATTTGTATTACTTTCAAAATTATTATTGAAACTATATGCCTTTTACTCTTTTTTCTTATTTCCTAAAAGAAATATTGTTATAAATTAATGAAGTTCATTTGAAAATATTGAGTAAAATATAGTTTTGTTCTTCCTTCTTTCTTGTTATATAATTTTAATTTGTTTATAAATATTTATACATTCAGGCCCTCTTTGGTCCACATTATTTTTTTCATTCTCATTCTTCTACTTATTTTCAACCACATATTCTTCAATAAAATAATATTTTTCATTACATGAATAACTTTTCATTCTTTTTCAACCACATATTCTTTATCACATCAACAGTAAAAATGCATTCTTACCTTCAAAATGTGTACCAAACGGGGGCAAAAAGAATCTTAATCAACATGAAGGCCATGCATGACTGTCTTTTCATCTCCAAAAGCTTGTTCAACTAGTCTTTCTGTTAACTTGTTCAACTATTCTTTCTGGTATAATTTTATTCTTAGTTGAAGGTAGGACCTTAAATTTTGTGTCCAAGCCATATAACCTTTGAATTTTTCTAATTTCTAGTGAAATAAACAGGACCCTATTTGTTTCCTCTTACGAGTTATCTTAAACTGCCCAAATCCAATGGAGATGTAATGCTGTTTGCGAACAGCATCACCAGAAACAGAAACAAAAACAAAAATTCGGAGGTAAAATGACGAGAGACACACTTCGAAGTTCAAGTACACAGTGACATGTATTGCAGTTCCAATTTCGAAAACCATGGTATTGTTAGACTAAAAAGCAATTCTCGACAGAGTATGTCAATCGAGAACAACACAATAAGCAACCAAATAGCTAATTCAACGAGCAACCTACATCATTGACAACAAATCACCAGTTACAAACTTAGTTATCTGAGGACTTCAATGCATCCAAAACCGCCTTCATTTGCATCCACATGAAGCCCAGCTTCTTGACATAGAGCTCAGCCTCCTCCATTTCCAACTTTCTCCACTCTCTTGCTATCTTAACCATCTTATCACTTTCAAATAATTCTGCCTCACTTTTTAAACCCTGTTTCCCCACATTAGCACCTTCCAAATTCTCACTCTTCACCGCCACCATCTTTATATCACCATTCTCAATCTCCTCTCTCTTTGCTTCCTTCAAATCCCCACATTCAACTTTAACAGTCCTGTTACTCAGAGTCTTCCTCACAGCACTCCCATTCCCTTTAGGATTCTTAAATGCTTCACCTCCACTATAATTCCCATTATTTTTCCCCCAAATCTTTTTCGACAATTCATAAACTTTTTGCTCGTGGGCCTTCGCCAAAGTCCTTTTCTTACCCTGCTTCTCCTTACTCTTATTTTTATCGTACTTTTTCTTCAGCCTCCTAATTTTATCTTGCTGCTTAACCTTGGTAACATCCACATTCAAATCTTTCTTAATGAAATCACGAAATGCATTCAAATCAGCAGCTGGATCAGATTTTTTCTTCACCACGTAATCGGTCATCCCTTTAAGAATTACAATTTCATCATCCTCACTCCATAGCCTCTGAAATAGCTTTTCCTTCGTATCATCATTAGTAACACTCCACTTTTTCTCTGAAATCACAGGCTCTGGTTTCGGCTTCAACCTCGTCGTATCCTTCACCTCACTCGCTTTCTCCTCTGCAGGAGCACGTTTTGACCCTGTTAACATTACCAGCAATCCCGGGCCAGTAGCATTGAGCTCGGATATGGGCTTTCTGAAGGTGGATTTTTGTGAGCCAACCATTGGCTTGGACGCCAAGGGCTTGACATTTGGGCAAGACCGGTCGGATTCGGATTCATCCTCTTCTTCAGAAGACGAAACCATTGGAGGTTTTGAGGGCTGATATTGGGGTTTCTTAGGGGCGGGTATATACGATGGCAATTTGTTAACTTGAGCCACGGTAGGTTCTGTTAAGATAAAGACAATTTTGCTTCATGACTAAGAAATTAGTCAAATCTTCTCCATTAAGAAAACAAGAAAGAAGAAGACAAATTGGAATTTTCTTCTCCAAAACCATTTGCCAGCCAACTTTCAGCCACCATTGTTGACAAATTGATGGGAATTGAGGCGGTTATTTGCCTATAAATTGAAGCTGAATTGGAGAGAAAGATATACAATTTTGAGGGAAAAAGAGATATGCAATGTTTGGAGAGAAAACACTTGTGAGAAGAGAGAAAAAATAGTGAGTAGAGAGAAAATATTAGAGAGGAAAAATATTATTGTTTCTCCTAAGTTTTTCC